CTTGATGCCGTTATTTCACCCATAAAATTTTAAGTTCACTTGGTGTAATTCAAGATTATTTCTTTAAATCAACACTGCACTGCACTATATATTGTCAATATGTTAAGTCAATTTCAGAATGACCAATAATTGTACTGTAAAAACGTAAAAATACTCTGTGTTCAAGAGACCCACAAGCAAGATGTTTCCTCCACTGAACAGAGACACAAACAGATGCCTTGGTGGGTGAGTGAAGTGACTGATGGGCACACCAAAAACTAGTTCCCTGTACTGCAATTATGTTAAATAAGTGTTAAAATGACTAAAAAATTTAATATAAAACTTGGAAAATTATTGAATAGTACAACCTTCTTCATTTTTACTCCAATTTTAACGAATGTAAGCCCTAGAACTGATTTCTGTAAAGGCGGACTAATCTTCCAGCTGGTGAGCAAGCCAAAGCATGTCAAAACATTTTCGTAAGAATTTTTGTTCGTTAACCGAAATGAAGATTCTTATGGAAGGTAATTCGTTAACGAGCACAATCCTTTCTAGAACGTTGCTCGTTAACCGAAACCATTGTTTCAATGTGTTTTTGGGTAATTGGTTCCAGCTCGCCGAAAATTGCCTAAATTTAACAAAAAAGGTAGAAAAGTACACTTACTTTGAGGTTTGGATGTAGAAGGCTCCTGGATGATGATGATGGGAATTAGAATGGGGGTGGAGGAGAAGGGAGAAGAGAAGGCATTGGGGTGGAAGAGAAGTCACCCCATGGCGCCATTTCACCCATAAAATTTTAGTACTCTTGGTGTAATTCACGATTATTTTCTTTAAATCAACACTGCACTGCATTATATATTGTCATTATGTAAAATGAATTTCAAAATGACCAATAATTTGCTTGCAAACACAGAAAAAAAGCATTTAGTTGAAGAGAGTCAAGCAAGATGTTACCTCCACTGAAAAGACAGAGAGACTGACGCCTGTTTGGTGTGTTGATTGGCTGGATGGCGCGCCAGAAACTAGTTTCCTTACCTTCAATTATGTTCAATAATTGTTAAAATTACTAAAAAAATTAATATTAAACTTTTAAAATTATTGAATAGTATAAACTTCTTGATATTTACTAAAATAGTAAGGAATTTAAGCCCTACAACCGATTACTGTATTGGCGGACTAATACTACAGCTGGTGGACCGCCAAATGCAAGCAAAAACATGTGGAGGTCGGCTCGTAAGAAACTCGTTAAACGAGGGATTGCTCGTTAACTGAAGTTAAGAATCTTATGCAAGGTAACTCGTTAACCGAAATCTCGTTAACCGAGGCGCTCGTTAACCGAGGGACCACTGTAATTGTAATAGATAAACAATAATTCTCATTCTGCACTTAAAATGACAAAATAGTTATGGTACCTGTACATAAATTGGTGATGTTCACCTGTAAAGAAAAAAATATCTACAGTAAATTAAGAATAAAATAAAGAACAAATACCTAAGGAAAAATAAAGAACTAGAGAAATAAAATAATTACAGAAAAAACATAAATGTAATAAGTTTACTTACTGAAAATTAAATAAACAAATTATGAAAATAAAGTAAAAATACAGACAACAAAAAAATCAAGATAAATGAAGAAATAAAGAAATAACAAGAAACAAAACCAATTAACTTATATAAAGTGATTACTGATTCTGGGGTGACTTGTGGGTACTCTTAAGTCATTGTCTGGGTCCTCATGTAAGATGACATCTGGGGTAGCAGAAGTAGATGCAGTAGGATGATCAGTTGAAGAGAGTTGCTTACTGGTCTCTCTTGCTTTTTTGAACCAATTATCAAAAGTTTTGTTTCATGTAGTATTTTGGCTTTTCTTTATTGAGAAACCAACCAAGGACAGAAACCCTGCCCTTAACATCCTTCGTGCCGACACATGCCACTTCTGTTTCTTGCGCCAAAGTTTTGCCGGGGATGCGATTCCAAAAAAGCGCCGTTTCGTCGACATTATATATATCTGCTCGGAGGATAAATTGTCATGTGCAACATACTCTGCAAATTCCTCGATGAACTTAGCACCTGCTTTAGTATTTGCACTTCCCCTTTCCCCACATATATGGTGTAAACTAATACCTTGCCTTTTTTTTTATTTTTGCAGCCATCCCTGGGAATACTCACACTCATGCTGCAGGTTAAGTTCTTTGTGAAATATTTTTGCCTGTGCTATTAACATCTTGCGCGACAGAGGAAAACGTTCACTGCTCCTAAGTTTGAATCACTGTATGAGAGCACTGTCTAAATCACTGTTTTTCCCGTCCTTCAGTGTTTTGTGCATATCCATATACTTTTTAGTGTCAAGATTTACTATACAACTTAAGGATTTGAAGTTTTTGCTTCTTGACATCATACACTGTAGATGATCCAACATTGTACACATCACATAAGGCACGGACTGATACGCCACTGTCCACTTTCTTCAACAGTTCCTCCTTCTGTTGTATCGATATAGATACTACGTGTTTGTGGCATTTGGAAGTATTTCCTGTACCTGTATTACCTGCTGGTGGCTTAGGAGGCATATTAAGGGTAAATAACAAGTGAAATATTACAGAAACACTTGAAATACCGAGGAACACACCAAACTCCACGAGGACCAGATGTAAACAGAGGGTATGCCGAACCGTGGATACTAGCGCCGGTGGGTACTAGCGGCCATCCGGCAAACCAAAATTTTGCCGGACGACAGGAGGTGCCAGACATTAGAGTACCGGACTAGGGAGGTTCAACCTGTATACAGTATAGTCTGCATTTACACGGATTTTGTTTACGCTTTTGGTCATTTACGTAGTGCCTTGCTAGAATGTAAATGCTTTAATTATGGTATGCGGTAAATTTGGTCATTTACGCGGTGAGTGGCTGGAGGTCCAGACGCTCCACGCCATACCTGGGAAGCGCCGCGGTGAGTGGTACTCATTAGGCCGCTCTTACGTTATTGCTGACGTCATATGATGTATCGGACTGTGATTGGGCCACGCATCCTTACCACCCACGCATTCCCTCTGCCGCTAGCTGTGATTGGTCTAATGTAACATGACGTACCCTGCCACCAGAGGGTAGAAGTCGCTGACCTAGCAGGGCCTGTCTCATTGTTCTCAGTCCGTGTATACAGTTCTCTCTTGTGCCCGCTATTCCCCTCACAACTCACAATGGCTTCTGCGGGACCCCCACCACCAGAGAAAAACATTGAATTACCTGGACCAAGCCATGATTGTGTGAAGGGAATCATTGAGTTGGGGGAGAAAATTAAGCTCATCCTTGACAACGACCCAGACAAGCATCGGTATGAAGCGTCTAATAACCTTCTGTCGAAAATTATGGAGCCGTATATCCAGATCTATCACGACAACATCAATGCTAGTCGTCAACGTAGTGTTGAGGACTTCCTCGCCCGCAACCCACCACAACCACAGCCAGCCCAAGTCAGTGATAGTGACAGTGAGGCTATGGACTTTGAAGGGTTTGTCAGGGAGGCCCTGCAAACCTCTGTGAGTAGTGAAAGTGATTCACCGGAGGGCAACTAATCTGCCCTCTGCCTCGGAACCAGCCGTCATCCACGTGTGCCGATCCAGCTTTTCTAATAACGTAAGTGTTGAAAAACCTAATATTATTGATATTTCTCTTAATTATTAATTATGTGTGCATACCATTATAAAATTAAGATGTTATTTTTACTACAACGTAGGTATTATGTCGGGAAAAAATGGAGTTTGGGGGTCGGCCCAGTCTCTAATTCAATTAATCCCAAATGTTCTGTTATTTAATTTATGCATTTCTCGTTTTACGCGGACCTCCACGGGTTCAATTGACCGTGTAAATGGAGACCCAACTGTATGCAGTATATATATATATATATATGAATGTATGTTTGTTTATTTTATTTATTTTTTAATGAAGTGTAAAGTCAGATCATCAACCTGGGACTTGGTCACATATGGCAGCAGGGTCTACCATTAGACAACACATTATGCTTCCACTATCTGCCCAGGCGGTAGTACCTCCCTGTTTGGTAGCTGCCTACTACCTGTTCCCTGTTGTGAGGTTGAGTTGTTAGTCACACCAATATTGTGACATACCATTTCCTTCATAACTGTTTTACTCTTTGTCATCAAACTCCACAAAAAACAAATTACTTAAAGTCTTAGCCACAGCGCTCACAATCCAGTCAAGATTCACTCGTAGAACATGACGACATTGAGCCGAGTAATGATAAACACTCGCAGTCACAGTGGGTGCCCATCCTCTCCAGCTGGTGCAGTCTGCCAAACTCCTGGGTGTAACTATAGACAACAAACTTGACTGGAAGGCCCATGTAAATAACACAGTCAAGGCAGCCTCGTACCATCTCTACATGCTACGTCGACTTAGGTCACTTGGGACACCCACGCCAGAGCTGAGGACCATCTACAACGCCTTTATTCTCCCCAAACTAACGTATGCGTCACCAGCCTGGTCGTCTTCTCTCAACTCCACCCAACAACGTCAGCTAGAGAAGGTACAGAAAAAGGCCTGCAGAATCATGCTTGGCGCAGAATACTCCGGCTACACCAACGCTCTCTCCACCCTGGAAATGCCATCCCTCAGTGACCTCCACCACCAAGCACTGGAAAGGTTTGGCAGGGGACAACTGCACCACCCTCGTCATCGCCACCTGCAGCCCCCCACCCACCTCGCGCAGTCCGCCGCTACAACAAAATTCAGCCCATAAGAGCCCGCACCGATAGATATAAGAATAGCACCATCCCATCTATTGTTAAAATAATAAACAAATCCTGATTTATGTACTGTACAGCCCTGTAAATGTATTCAATGCATATTATATCATTATGTCTAAATCAAATGTAAGTCTGTATATTTTCAGCCACCGGCTGCAACTCTATTAATAAACCGTTTATTATTATTATTATTATTATTATTATTATTATTATTATTATTATTATCATTATTATTATTATCATCATCTCTATTTTTCAGCCATCCAAAGGAACCCAGAATGAGGAAGGTGGGAGAGAGGGGGAAGGTTCACTGCGCACCAAGAACAGGCCCAAGAGGATGGCATCAATTCATTCTGGGGAGAACGCAGTTAATGAGGTGAAAGATCGTGGAGGTATGCAGGAGTGCCATCTAGTAGCCAAGCAACTGTCCAAGGCTGAAACAAATGACGTATGGAAACACGTCCTCCTTGGCAAGTAAGTCGGGGCTAGGATTCAGAGCATGATAAATGGCAGCTTAAGTGCAGTATTCCCAGTCACATACCAGTAATGTAGCTTTTGTTAAATTGTTATAAAAATAAATATTGTTATCAGAATTTTCTTTTCATTTAATTCCTGTTAATTACTGTTTATCTTGCCAGTAGCTCCTGTCATGAGGCTTACTTACACTAAGCTTTACCTGCCATTTCTTTGTTTTATATTAACAGTTGGTCTCTCTGCATGCTTCATAGGATTATTTGACCTTGTTTCTTTCTGAAGCTAACAACAGTCCTCCTCTCTGCTACTCTTACATCTTAACAAGCTTGGCAGTAGACAGTGTGTGAGCTGAGCACCAGATGGTTCCATGCACTGAACAGTTAACCCTCTGGTACTCCTGACCGTGGTCGGAAATCTCGCCTCCTCGCAGTCTTTCGGCTCAAGTTGCGACGGTAGCGGGAACTACTTTTTCATATTAGTCAACACCGGGTTGAGCGATCCAGACCCTTAGAGATGCATCTGCCAGCGCATGAGGCTAGTGGGAGGAACTAAGGTGGTGGATGGGGCCGGTGCAGTGTTCTGGCCCTTCTGCTTATAGGAGGGTTACTCTCAGTGTGGGATACAGCTGAGTGGTAGGAGTCGTGTTAGCACAGGAGCGCTTAGTAACAACAGTTGTGTCGAAAGACCATGAGAGGGTTAAACACTGTGGAACACTTGGGTAACACTCATCACCCAGCACCTCTTTGGTAACACTCATCACCCAGCACCACTTGGGTAACACTCATCACCCAGCACCACTTGGGTAACACTCATCACCCAGCACCACTTGGGTAACACTCAGCACCACTTCACACCCTACACGTGGTAGCCACAGATGGTGATCACAAGCATCTCATTTCTTCCTGTTGACTTAATGCTCTGCTCATCCTTCTGTGCCATTAGTCAATTTATTTTTTATGCTTAAATTTCTTTCCTTCGTACTTCCCAGCTGCCAATGACCCTTCTACCGTGTACAGTATACTGTATATAGGTCCAACCTTCCTGATCCACCATAAATTTCATACATTTTTCTTGGAATTTGTTTTTTATTTATTATTAATAAATTTTTGCACTTGTGATATGTATTTCCAAGTGGCAATACCTTAAAACTGTGTAACAACACTAATATATACTATGGCATATTTACCATATACAGAAATACTTGGGTTATAACAAAGGATGTGTTCCTAAAAGGCATTGTGTACGGGTCGACCACTGATTTACTGGCACCGTCGGGGCCGGACCGGCGATTTTGCCGAACCGTGGGTGGTGACGGCCTTGGGGAAGCTACCACTCTTATCACCTCCAGCCCAATAGTTCTACACCTCACTGTGGCTCTAAAGCACTCTGGCCTGCTAGAAAATCAAGATGACAATTGGGAAACAATTATTAAAAGAGAACCGGTACAGGCATCCCCCCGGGTTACGGAAATTCGCTCTTAAGGATTTTGTAAATTATGACCCATATATCTGGGATACGGACAAAAAATTCTCCAATACGGAAATTGGGTAAAAATATTATAAGTTAATTTTTTTTCAATACCGGGTACTTTACTATTAGAAAAAAAAAATTATAAAAATTTATTTTGTGTGGATTTCTTGGGGGTTGCTACAAGACTGTACACTCGCCACGCCAACCCGCTCTGTTTGAACTCACGTGCGGTCTTGTGCACTTGGTCTCGCGACACTTACATACTTCTGTATTAAGGACTGTATTATTGTGTACCCTTATTCAAGATGAGTGGAAAGAGGCAGCCATCAAGTTCAAGTGAAAGCAGTGGTGCTAAAAGATCCCGTAAAGGAATTACATTGGACACTAAGCTTGATGTTGTACGGAGGTTTGGTGAGAGAGAAAACCTTGGCCAGATTGTAGAAACATTAGGCCTGTCTGCACAATACCTGATAATAAAGACAAAATTAGGTCAAGTGCTCAATTGGCTACTCCTTTAACTGCCATACGTTGTTTTTCATAGAAGTGATGTGATGCTTAATGTGGAAAGACTTGAATTTGTGGATTGAAGACCAAACAACACGGAATGTGTCGCTAAGCCCGATGATCATTCAGGAGAAAGCAAAAAGTTTGTTCGAGGATTTGTAGAAAGAACGAGGTGTAAGTTCTGATGCTAAACCTCTTCAGGCTAATAAAGGCTGGGTTGAAAGGCTTAAGAAGCGTTGCATAACATTAAGATGGTCGGTGAAGCTGCCAGTGCTGATACAGAAGCTGCACGTAAATATCCGGAAGAGGTGAAGAAAATTATTGCTGAAGGCGGCTACACACCAGAACAAGTGTACAATGTGGATGACACCGGACTTTTTTTGGAAGCGCATGCCTGCTAGGACGTTCATTTCCAAAGAAGAAAAGTCGGCACCAGGTTTTAAAGCTTCTAAAGATCGTCTAACTCTTCATTTGGGAGGAAATGCTGCTGGTGATATGAAATTAAAGCCCCTACTGGTGTATCATTCTGAAAATCCAAGGTCTTCCAAGGGTTACTCCAAGCCTAAACTACCAGTGATTTGGCAATCAAACAAGGAAGCTTGGTTGACCATGAGCCTTTTTCAAGACTGGTTCACAATCTATTTTGCCCCTGCTGTTGAAAGGTACAGTAACAGGAGAAATATATCCAACAAAGCTTTGCTGCTCTTAGATAATGCACCCAGCCACCCAATTAACCCAAATGATCTTTCTGATAAAGTACGAGTGGAATATATACCCAAGAAGACAACTGCCTCGCTCCAGCCGATGGATCAAGGTATGATTACAAACTTTAAGGCCTATTACCTACGAAGAACATTTAAACAGGCCATAGCAGCAATTGGTGGGGAGGATAAACAAAGAATTAGGGACTTCTGGAAAAAGTTCAACATGATGAACGCCGTGGAGAACATAACTGAGTCGTGGGATGAAGTTAAACCATCAACTATGCATGGTGTGTGGAAGAACATATGGCCAGAGTGTGTCAACGACTTTCAAGGTTTTCCCCAAGCAGAAACTATTAATAAAGTTCACCAAGAGATTGTGACACTTGTAAATAATGTTGGCTCTGAAGAAGTCATCCAAGATGATGTGGTTGAGTTATTAGAGGCCCATAGAGAAGATCTGTCTAATGAGGGTCTGATGCTGGTGGAACAGTTGCAGGAGGAGAGGACAATAAAGAAGTTCCACCCATCACACTCGAGTTGACAAAAAAGCATTTGGCTAAAGGGTTTATGCTTGTAGAGGAAACTTTGCAAATCTTTGCCACTAACGATCCCGATAGTGAACGCAACCTCGGTTTCTAAAGAAATACAGAGTAGCCTCAACCGCTACAGGGAGCCGTACAAGGACAAAATGCTCCGTCAACGCCAAGAGCAAGACCTGTAGCAGATGATGGTGTACAGGGCGAGGCAGGAGCCAGTAGTGTCCCTCCCAGTAACTCTATAGCACCACCTTACCTCACCTAACTCAGCCCTCAACATCATTTGTGGTAAGTTAAATTCAAGTGTTTGTATTTTTATTTTCATTATATCATAAAATAATCAATGTACAGTAAAGCCTCCGATAACAATGGTTCGACCAACAACTTTTCTTATTTAAAACCCTAGTTAATTTCGGACCCAATTCAATTCACGTCCTTATTTCATTCGTATTTACGACCAAAATATAATAAAAAATACAATAAAATTACATTTTCATATAAATAATAACTAAATCCCTTGCTAATGAGTGGTGAACAACAGTTGGAGCTTGGCAGTGCTACCAAGAGATGCATCCAGAGCCGAATTAAGGTTTTTGTAGGCCCTGGGCACTTTTTTATCGTAGGCCCCTAAGTTTTACCATCAGGCCAACACCGTGCGTGCTGCCACCTATGGGTAACAGTATGAATAGTAGGTTGGGTTCAGTTGCTTATTATTTTGAGGATTGATAAAAACTCTACATTTGTTTTGCAGTATGTCTAAGAATAAAGGTATTCATTTGTGATTATTTAGTCTCTTGTGACTTCTACTCAATCATAGTTAGTTTCTGGCCAGTCAGGTTCAAAGGATGTCTTACCACTAACCAAACAGGCACTAAATTAATGTTTATAATCACTTAGACTTATGACTGCAATCTATTTCTCTCTTGTCAACTTTATCGATTATTTTCCTTTACCCTGTTGGAACATGAAGGCTAATAGGCCAGACCACAGTTAAAACACATACATTATAGGTCCCTTAAACCTTCGTAGGCCCTGGTCACTGTGCCCCCTTGATAATCCAGCCACTATCTCCCTCACCACCTCCACCTCCCTCACCACCACCTTCACCACCACCTCCCTCACCACCACCTCACCACCACCCCACCACCTCCTCCCTCCCACCACCACCACCTCCACCTCCCTCACCTCACCCTTCACCACCACCTCCCTCACCACCACACCTCCCTCACCACCACCTCCACCTCCCTCACCACCACCTTCACCACCACCTCCTCACCACACCTCCACCTCCTCACACCACCTCCCCACTCACACTCCACCCCCACCACCACACCTTCACCACCACCCCCTCACACCACCTCCCTCACACCACCCCCCACCTACCCCCACCCACCACCCCCACCACCACCCCCCCCCACCACCCCCAACTCCACCTCCCCACCACCACACCACCCCACCACCCCACCACCCACCCCCACCACCACACACACCCCCACCACCTCCCTCACCACCTCCACCTCCCTCACCACCACCTTCACCACCACCTCCCTCACCACCACCTTCACCTCCACCTCCCTCACCACCACCTTCACCACCACCTCCCTCACCACCACCTCCATCATCACACTACCTCTATTATCACTCACCACCTAAATCATAATTTCAGTGAGGCAGAGATGGCTTAACTATAGCCAGAGCAGAGCTGTATGGTATCCACTGGCTCCCACCTCCCTCCCTCCCATCCATTGCGTCTCACCCTCTTTCATCAAACGACTGTTATTCTTGATACAATAGTGCTTATTTGTTATTCATTAATTAGTAAATATATATTACTGTAATAATCTGTGTTTATTAATACCTGTATCCTTCATATACAATACTTTACTGTATACAGGCATACCCCAACAACCAATGCATATAGACAATAGGAAAAGTTGTTGGTTAGTGAATCAACAATTACTGAAGCAAATATCCCATAAGACCATAGAACAAATTCAGGGGGTGAGGAACCGGCCATCCTCAAAAAACTCCCATCTACCCTTGATGTCTCTGTACTGCACACTGTCAAGCAGACATAAAGCAAGCATAATAAGCCTTAAATAAGCAATGTAAAGCATAAATTGAGACTGTTATTTACCTGTGTTGAGGACAGTCTAGGGTGGCAAGTTCAAGTCTCTACCACTCTTTGCTGGTCCATCACCACTCTTATTACACCTTATCACATCACATCAAGCTGCCCAGCACAAGAGGAACTGGGGTGTTAAGCATGATTGAGTAACACACTAAGTCGGAGGTAATGTAAAAACATGAAGTCAGAGACACATAGTGAGTGTAAACAAGAGTAAAGATGGCAGGAATGAGTTAGGGCAGCGTGTAGAGTCTTCTGGTGACAAGAATTTGCACCATGCCACCGCCTGCCAAATTCAGAACAGCTCTGCCTCTATATCCTAATGGTCGGATCTTTGGGGTACACCTGTGCTTTATATCTCATAGGTTAAAAATACATCATCAGGAACACCTCTCCCTATATGCTATGGTATATTGACCCCATAGAATGCCATATTCTAAATGGGGTGTTACTGTACTAATGAATGTGAGGAATAAATTAAAAAAATTTACTGTTAACTCTTAAGCCCCGGGTTAGGGCGCTGCTGGCAGTACACACACACACACTCGCGGGGTTAAATCGAGGAAAAAATCAACTTTTCCAAAAATAATAATATAAAAAATATGGCGGGAAAATAGGCAGATGCTCTGAAACGTCACCCGGGGCCTAATGGTTAAAGAAAATAAAAGAAAAATCTTCATTGGCAGTTGGCAATAGGTTCACTAGACACACAGGACTGGAGCGGCTGAGATCCCCTAATTAAAAGTGCAGTGTTTTTTATAGGACAAAATTATATAAATATATAACATTACTGAACTGGTAAAAAACAAACTGTACAAGATGTCTTTACTGTACTGTATTTGACAGGTTAGATTCAGTGTGTGAACGCTTATTGTTCGGTGACACATCGTGCATACTGGACCCCAGAGTGGTGGAGGGGGAGTGGGTGCATCACAACATGACCAGAGTGACCTCGAGGGGTGTGGTGCTGGCCCCTGATGGTCACCCAGATGACCTTCCTAATTGGATCCTCACAGCTATGAAGTGCATGGCTCACTGTAAGTATCTGTGTGTCATAGTTTACCTGTCACGGTTCTCACATACGAAGAGTAGTTGTAGTCTTCAAGGTGAACTACAAGAGTGTATTGGAGGCTGAAGGCGTTAAATACAAGACACCACCTCTGCTACTCTTATTATTAACAGCTGCAACACGGTGAGACTATAACTGGTCGGGAGCGTTGGCTAACTGCCGCACATGTAAGAAATGTTTATTCCCTTTATGTTTTTGAACTTAGGTTAATCATCTATTTTATTTATTTATTCTGTATGAATGATTGTGTGTAACAGAGCAACAGAATTAATAAAGATACGGACGGTATATCTACTCCAGATAACAAGTTAAAACACTAACACAGCTTGGCCCAGCCCCACACCTCTGCCTCACTTACTCCTGCTGATGTAAGTTATTTTTATTCTCTTTAGTTTTAGACTTTAAGATAATATTTTTTTTATTTAATTTTTTCACATTCTGTATGAACAATTATGTGAGCATATAAGAGAATAGCAGAAAATAAGTCCGCACACACACATGTTCATAACATAGGGCTTTACTCAGGCCTACTTCACGTGAACATTTTAGCTCCCCGCAGGAGAAGGCATGTGTTCACACGGACGTGTTTCTCACGCTTCAGTTCGTGTGCGTCTAACAAAAATACTCACAGGCACTCCCGGTCCCTACCATAGATGCACTACAACTGTCGTGCAGGAAAAAATGTACATCACGTGAAGAATTCTACAATACTCGGTGTATTGTATCACACCATTGTTTGGAAGTGCAGGTACAGGCTTGGAGGTGACCGTCTCCTGCTTAGGAATTTTTTTGTGTATTTGCTGTCCCATTGAACTGCATTAATTTCTAAATCGCGCATGTGTGTCAAGTGGGTCTAATGATGAAGCTGTGGCGACCTGTGGTGTAATGGTCGACATCCTCGCCTCGCAAGCGAGCGGACCCGAGTTCGGTGAAACTATGGACAAGTTTCTTTACTCCATTTGCCTCTGTCTACCCAGCAGTAATTGGGAACCTGAATGTTAATCGATTTGCGGATCGTATTCCGGGGTAATGGCTAGCCGGTGCAGTTGGCGAGCTGTCCGGTCTTCTCGGACTATTCCATGACACTGGGTCATGCAGCTCGTTAATTTAGGGTGTGGTTGTTGTGTTGGTGACAACTTCTACACCTTAACAAATTCACGCCTAGGAGGCCCTTGGGCCGGCCATCCTCGATTTCGAGGGGGTGGGGTGAATATTACTGTAGGGTATTATAGTTTGCCATTTGTAAATAAGTGGGGTATAATTTATGAATATTGACTTGGGGTGTTAAGATATCCATTATGGATAAGCAAGGCTGCAAATGGTGATGTATTTTGTAGTATTTTCATAATAACTGACAAGTTGATTACTGATGCAAAATGACCCATTGTAGAAGTGAAATATTTATAAAGAAATAAAGAATAACTAAATATGATGTAGTTTATTCATAATACAGTACTGTAGTATGAAGAAATACAATGATTTGAAAATAGATTTGATGTAAAGTTAAAAGAACTAAGTGTGTTATACATGTGTGTGGTTGTGTTGTAGTTAACTATACATGTGTGTGGTTGTGTTGTAGTTAACTATACACATGTGTGGTTGTGTTGTAGTTAACTATACATGTGTGTGGTTGTGTTGTAGTTAACTATACATGTTCTGAACCCCTCCACCCAGCACTCTGAAGCCGCCATCTATTGTCTGATCCTGCCCCAGCACCACAGAAACAGCATACATCTAGGGGCCAGACAGTATATTTCGTCTTAGTTACCACTCCGAGGTTTCCCTTCTCCCTATCCTGGTTGTTGCGTCACCTCCTCCGTCTTCTTTGTCAGCTCCAATTCGAGGAGAGGACTTGGCTCTGGGAAGTGACCACAGGATCATCTATCCTCTAAACCTACGTGCAGTGACTACCTACCGTCTTCTACAATACTCAGCCTTACTCGTCAGCCATCTCAGCTCCTCACTTAAGTACTATTATCCTGTATTAACTCCCCCACGTCCACTTGCTTCGAGATTGTTTTATGTTTATTAATATGTATATACTGTTAATGTTTAGGTTAAGTTTGGTTAAGGGTAATTTATAAGCTGAATATTTTGTTAAGGGATTTATGGTACTCTATTATATACAACGAAAACTCGCATCCTTTGTCTACCCTTTTATAGTCCGATTGTCTTTGTTTTTTTTTGAGGGCTAGCCAGACCTGAAGCAACTTCTGAGTGAGGAGGGGTGGTGGATAGTGGTTGAAGTTTCTTGGACATGGGCGTTAATCTGTCAACAGCGGATTCTTTTAAAACTTCATGTTGAACCAGCACTTCAATCACATGATTTTTAACATTTCCTTAGTCAGTTGCTGTGAAAATGGGATATTATAATAGTTGGCTATTTCTTTCCATTCTTTCTTCAGGATATTAACACATCATTTAGCTACGGAAGGATTGCCAGCCAATCTGGAGATCAAAACCTAATGAGGTGGCCATTGGTAAGAAAAATAGGATAAATTAACTAATGGTCAAAGATAAGATAAGTGGATAACCTAGAAAATATCACGGCAGTGGATAACCAGAAAAGTCGAAAACTAGCAAGTTATGCCTAGGGAAATTACACTTATGATTATTGTTCTTCTAGAAGATCCTTGAATAATAAGGATAAAGAGACTTGAAAAGAGGTAGAGGCGTATTACGGCATTAATATAAGATCCGGATTAACAACCTGATATACTTGAAAAGAGGTAGAGGCGTATTCGGCATTAATATAAAAGATCCAGATTAACAACCTGATAAATGGTATGATTGACCTGAATGAGATAATGAGAAGAACAATAATTGAGGCTTTATAATTATGGGGTCCTGGTAGAAGCGGAAGCGTCCCAAGATATCCACTTCATAAGTAAACTAGTGACTATGGAACAGCCTACTCTGGAGTGAGGTCTTTGACATTAAACAGATCCAGTTCTTCCCCTTTTCGATAAGACTTACTACACAACTGCCGCGATGTAATAACCATTGGCCTTATGACACTTAGAACCCTAATATCTCGTCTGTCACTCTTACTATACGATAATACCAATATATGCACACACATATGAAGGAAACTTTAAACTACCGTAAAGCAATTGTGAACAGAAGTGACTGGGAGGAATAATTAACACTGAGTAACAAGGGAGGAAGGAATATGGTACTTAAGGTCGTGTCCTGTCACGGTCGCCATTTGTTACGAGTTGGGGATTTTAGAATATAGTTATACGTCTACCCAGATCCCAACAGGTAACAACAATAAAAAAAAAACAAAGACAATCGGACTATAAAAGGGTAGACAAAGGATGCGAGTTTTCGTTGTATATAATAGAGTACCATAAATCCCTTAACAAAATATTCAGCTTATAAATTACCCTTAACCAAACTTAACCTAAACATTAACAGTATATACATATTAATAAACATAAAACAATCTCGAAGCAAGTGGACGTGGGGAAATTAATACAAGATAATAGTACTTAAGTGAGGAGCTGAGATGGCTGACGAGTAAGGCTGAGTATTGTAGAAGACGGTAGGTAGTCACTGCACGTAGGTTTAGAGTATAGATGATCCTGTGGTCACTTCCCAGAGCCAAGTCCTCTCTCCTCGAATTGGAGCTGACAAAGAAGACTGAGGAGGTGACGCAACAACCAGGATAGGGAGAAGGGAAACCTCGGAGTGGTAACTAAGACGAGTCATACTCGTGTCTCGTCCTAGATAGCGTTGCTAGAGTGGTGCTGGAGTAGGTAGATCAGGACGATGGGCCTGGCGTGCTTCGTAGTGCTGGAGTGAGAGGGTTCGTAACAACATGTGGTTGTGCTGTAGTTAACTATACATGTGTGTGTGGTTGTGTGTTGTAGTTAACTATACATGTGTGTGGTTGTGTTGTAGTTAACCATACATGTGTGTGGTTGTGCTGTGTTAACTATACATGTGTGTGGTTGTGTTGTAGTTAACTATACACACATGTGTGGCTGTGTTGTAGTTAACTATACATGTGTGTGGTTGTGTTGTAGTTAACTATACATGTGTGTGGTTGTGTTGTAGTTAACTATACATGTGTGTGGTTGTGCTGTGCTAACTATACATGTGTGTGGTTGTGTTGTAGTTAACTATACATGTGTGTGGTTGTGCTGTAGTTAACTATACACATGTGTTATTGTGTTGTAGTTAACTATACACATGTGTGGTTGTGTTGTAGTTAACTTTCATACATGTGTGTGGTTGTGTTGCAGTTAACTATACATGTGTGTGGTTGTGTTGTATAACTATGTATTACGTGTATTGTGCTGTAGTTAACTATACATGTGTGTGGTTGTGTTGTGTTAACTATACATGTGTGTGGTTTGTGTTGTAGTTAACTATACATCATGTGTGGTTGTGTTGTAGTTAACTATACATGTGTGTGGTTGTGCTTGTAGTTAACTATACATGTGTGTGGTTGTGTTGTAGTTAACTATACATGTGTGTGGTTGTGTTGTAGTTAACTATACACATGTGTGGTTGTGCTGTAGTTAACTATACATGTGTAAGCTAGGTTGTAGTTAACTATACACATGTGTGTTGTGCTGGCAGTTAACTATACATGTGTGTGGTTGTGTTTGTAGTTAACTATACACATGTGTGGCTGTGCTGTAGCTAACTATGTATGCGTGTGTTGTGTTGTAGTTAACTATACATGTGTGTGTGGTTGTGCTGTAGTTAACTATACATGTGTGTGGTTGTGTTGCAGTTAACTATACATGTGTGGTTGTGTTGCAGTTAACTATACATGTGTGTGGTTGTGTTGTAGCTAACTATACACGCAGGGTTGTGCTGTAGTTAACTATACACATGTGTGGTTGTGTTGTAGCTAACTATACATGTGTGGCTGTGTTGTAGCTAACTATACACATGTGTGGCTGTGCTGTAGTTAACTATACACATGTGTGGTTGTGCTGCAGTTAACTATAC